CCCTTCATTCCCCCTTCATTCCTCTCTCTCCCCTCTCTCCCTGCTTTGTTGGCCCTCTATTCCTTTCTTTTCTCTGGGCCGAGCTCTCTTTCAGAGACGAATTAGGATGGTTCGTGTTGGGCTCTGTATTAAAAAGACCATAAACCACAGAAACTTATTTTTCCCAGCTGTCAAAAGCAGCAGAGTTCCTGTTTGAAGGGCCTGACATTCTTTCGGAGACACGCTCTGAGCAGTCTGAGCGCCGTGAGCGGCTTCGGAGCCTGCCCCGTGTGTGGCTTCGGAGCCTGCCCCGCGTGTGGCTTCGGAGCCTGCCCCGCGTGTGGCTTCGGAGCCTGCCCCGCGTGTGGCTTCGGAGCCTGCCCCATGTGTCGCCCGGCGCCCCTCCTCCTGGAGTTTGCCTTCGTTCAGGAGCCTGCCAGAGGCCGGGCCTGCACCTGGCTGGGCCCTCCAGCCCGCGGCATGTCCCTAACGCCACTTCCTCTTCCTTCTGCTGTGTCACACGCTCCATGGCTTGGGTCTCTGAGGCATATTTGAACCATCTCCAACATAGAGCTCAAGATATTCAAAATCCTAGCGGAGATGCGGTGGTCAGTTTACATTCCCTTAAAGGGAATGAAAATGAGTTTTGATGGAGATCCATTACAACCAAAATTGAGATTTACAAGAAGAACTGGGATGCCACTTGAATTTAATATGACGGCACTAACTGTCGGCAACACTGTTTACTAGATGGGCATCACTACAGCAAATCCAAGGAACGGGACCTGCTGGAAATTTCCAGGGTAAACAAAGGCTGTGAGTCCGAACTTTGTGTTTTACCGAGGTGCTCACTTGAAATTAAACCGGACAATTCAGACAAAATTGCACCACGGAATTCAGTCTTATTTTAGCGACAAGTACATTCAGAAAACTATGTCCAAGCTTTATGTCCGTCATATATTAAAGCTCTCTTTTGCCTTGTAATTTCAAGTGAGTGTAATTTTAGGGAATTTCAGGTAAGCCCAAGACATAAAAATGATGTTTGCACAGAAAACATTACTAAGATTATCACCAAAAGGGAGCCATGGTTGTTCTACCTCCATTTACTCTCAAAGAGAACCAGCTGGCAGGCGCCCGGGAAGCAGAAGTCGCTTATGGGTTCCAGGGTGAGCTTTAAGTCAGCAGCCTGAGTGTGAGCTCTGGCTTTGCCAGTTAGCAGCCCCGGGGCCTCGAAGCCCCTCCAACCCCGAGTCTTAGTGCCCCCCTCTGCACAGCGGCGCAGGAGGAGCGTTTGCTTTACAGGGTTTCGTATTGATAAGGAGCCGACACATGCACAGTGCCAGCCATGCCACTTGCACGCAGTAAACGGTAGCTATTATTATTATTATTACCATTAATAAGCGAGAAGTGCAGAATCCCCTTTAAGGATAGAAAGGAATGCAAGTCGCTGGTGAAGGCAGAAATTGCCAGACAAATGCTGCTTTCAGAAACCTTTCCTTAAAGAGCAGCTCAGGATTCATATTTCACACTCAGGGAAGAATTTGAGATCAAGAACTTTGGTTAGAAAACTCCTGTTCTTGTTGTTTTAAAATTACCATTACAAACCATGGTCTCGC